CCTCAACCTTAAAGAAGCTATATACTAAGACAGAAAAGGAATTACTGTGCCTTGATCTTTATCACTCTCTCCAACAATCAACCTCAAGTGACAGTCAGATGTTATTACATACAGTAATAATACAGGCCTCCCACTCACAAAATTGGATTGTGCTTCTGAATGTTTCTCACTGGAGCACAACAGTTGTAAATTCTCAAGTGTTAGCATCAATAGTTCCTTTAAATTCGGGAAGAGAGTTGGGCACAGTGGCCAATTCCTATAATCCCAGCACTCCTAAGGGGAGGCGAGAAGGACTTCTATTGAGTTTGGAGCCAACCTAGGCTGGAATGAGATCCCGTCTCAAAGCAAACAAACAAGAACAGCTCTGGAGCAGCAGTACCATGTGAGGAATTCATGAATGTTCTGAACTGAGGCTCCAGCAGTAAAAGACAGATGAACACTAAAGAGGGAACCTGGTCCCAGGAAGCAAAGAGTAACTGCCCTGCTCAAGATTATGAATGTCAGCCATTTCGTCTGAAGTCCAAAAATGAAAAGTATTAGTAATTTTATTCAAAAGTTTAGCTAGAATAATAGGTAGAATGCTTACCAATGAAGAACATATTAAAGTTGAAAATGTTACCAGGTATTTGACTGTTTTCTTGTTTGCTTCAGAAAAGGCTGCAAGGAGCCCAGGCTATAGAGGAAGACCTGAACTCCTGATTTGCCTGTCTTCACCTTCCAAATACTGGGAGGGCAGGTGTCTCCACATAGTATTTATAATCAACTAATTTTTCGTTTTGTTTTGTTTTGTTTTTCAAGACAGGGTTTCTCTGTGTAGTTTTGGTGCCTGTCCTGGATCTCACTCTGTAGACCAGGCTGGCCTCGAACTCACAGAGATCCGCCTGCCTCTGCCTCCCAAGTGTTGGGATTAAAGGCATGCGCCACCACTGCCCCGCCCTACTTATCTTTTTAAGAGATGTATTTTCAGTTGCCAGTCATCAAGCCACACTAAGTAAGTAACCTCTGTTTTTGGTAGAGTATTGTTATTGTGACTTGGGTTTCTACATTTTAAGATTTAGCAACATATGACGCAATCCTCTTGTTTTGCAGGAGAAAAACAAGACTCAGGTGTCTGAGACATACACCTGGATAATATCCCAGTAATTAGGAATTAAACACAGAAACACTTAAGTTTTTGAGCTCAATGAGAAAGCTACAATAAATATTGCATTTAAAAAGCTTCTTGAAATGTGTATTCTGTATTTAGAGAAGCTAGGGAAAAAAATCCTAATTAAAACAGGTCAAATTTCTTCTGCTTCCAGTATTACAAACCTCAGTATAGAAGAGTAAAGGACACTCTCCTACTGGATCTCCACCTACTTTTCCAGACACTACAACCCTTAACACAGCTCTACAACATCATCCCCACTCACCAGTGCTGTGCTAGGATATAAGGCAAAAGCTGCTGCAAAAGCCAACTCAATACACTTTACAAGTTATCACTTTATACCCAAACATAGGGCTCCCCGTTTATAAGAAATAAGTATAAAAGCAGTAAATGATGCAAAGCAACTTATAAGAAGCAAAAGCACATTTTACAGTGTTTATACAGATGAATTTATAATATCCTTAATATAAGAGAACTAGAACTAGCAAATTCAACAACAGGTTGATTCAGGAATAATGCTGATATATTTGAACCTTTGTAGATGGTCCAAACCCTCCTTAATAACCACCCAATGCAATGTAATAATTCTGAATGAGTGTTACAATTCATCTGTATTTCTAGCTTCTATTACTTATTAGGGTCTCATAAGCACAACCGGGCAACCATCCAGCCTAGTGCAAGGCAAGAAAGATAGAAAAAAAACAAAAATAAAAAAAGAAATCTTCAGCCGGGCGGTGGTGGCGCACGCCTTAAATCCCAGCACTCGGGAGGCAGTCGGATCTCTGTGAGTTTGAGGCCAGCCTGGACTACAGAGTGAGTTCCAGGAAAGGCGCAAAGCTACACAGAGAAAGCCTGTCTCAAAAAACAAAAAAACAAAAAAACAAAAAAAACCAAAAAAAAAAAAAAAAAGAGAGAGAAACAAAAAAAAGAAATCTTCTAGATAGCAGGTAACAGGCAATACTATATGGTGCCTAGAATGGACACATTTCAGTACTACAGCAATACCAATGAGTATTAATACACATATGATGTGTTATTAAATTAATAAGGAAATACTTGGCAGAGGTGGGGAGAACTTGATAATTAAATGTATGTCAAATAAGTAATAAGGAAATTTTACTACATTTGAGTATCAGGGAAAAGTTGTCTGTGTTTATTCTTTTTTTTGCATTCTTTTAAAGCATATGATGATTTTGAAGTTATGTTAGTTATAAATATTACATGAACTAACATTGTTCAATATTTTAGGTATCTTAGGTGGCTAAATACAATTATTTCCAGTTTTAAAACAATAATAATTGAAGTAGGGGCTATAAAAATGCATTACTAAATTACTGTCTTCTTGACATGCCAGTTTTTAAGTAGTATTTTAAAGTGATTACATCAATGTGTCCGATTTAAGAAACTATATTGTTAGAGACACTGCAGTCCATCTCTATCTGATACTACAACTTTGAAATGCAAAATCTGACCATCATTGAGAACCAAGAACAAGGAGGAAGCTTCAGCCTTGACGGCAAAGCCAACTGCTTACTGTGATGTTTTGTATAATGAAAGCATTCTCAGAGCCACAGCAGCAGGAAAATGGGAATACCAGCAAACTAGTAAAAGAAAATAAAAATGCCAATTCCTACACAGTTCAGAGGCCAAACTGACTTTTGTTTGTCTAAGATTACCTGAAGGAAAGTCCTGAGACACAGCTCAGTGACAGAGCACTGGGCACACTAGGTTCAACTCTCACTTCTGTAAAATAAATGCTCTCACACCACCTGACTCAGTCACTTCATTCCATTTAGCCTGGATGCTATGGACCTTAGAAAACAGAAAACACTGGAGACAGACACACACAGACACAGATCTTAAGGTATCATTTCTTGAGCTGGTTTGCTATTTTCAACGAAGACTCCATAAGCATAAGCTCTGCATGGTCTACTTATCTTCTCCAAGGTGACATGTTATATGAGCATTTCCTACATTCTTTTTTTTTTTTTTTTT